CGTCCAGGGGTCGGCGAGTCCTTCGTCGAGTCACTCTATCAGCTTGACGGTGGAGCAGTCGCCCTCGAGAAACGAGATGACTGGTAACCTCTCTTTCCTGGTGACGCTGACTTCAGTGCTACAGTCAGGTCAGCCGATGGTTCTTTCATCCTCCTCAGCGGAGGAGTCTACCACTGTCTCCCACCCAGGCGAAGGGGCCGATGAAGACAGCGCGTTTATGGAGACCCTCAACTTGCTGCAGGAGGAACTTCAGGGAGTTCGTGTACGTGGCGCACACAACGGGGCTGTTTAGTTCGGTGTTTTAGGAAACTATAAGGTTTCATCAGGAGCGACCTCTTTCTCCTGTCCAAGTCACTCGCGTCAGACTCGATCAATCTCCCGGGAGTGAGTCCTCCTCTAACAGAGTTGAAGGCGGTGCGAGAGTCCCCGAATTCGATGGAGGCGCCATCATGGATCGGAATGGCCTCGCTCAGTCCCAGCTGAGGAGCCCAACCGCTACGGTTGCACCTATTGAGGCAACTTGCACTAGACCCGCTTCGGACCGCCCGTTCAGCTCATACCACTCCTCGTCCTCATCGTCATCATCAGCTCCGGCGCCGCTACCGCTCTATCTCGTCCGTGGTGGAGCCTCGGTCCCTTCTACTGCCGACTCGTCGCCGCCCTCGACCGTCTCTACTTCATTCGCCAACTCCGGAGTCCACGTGAGGACCGGCTCGCTGGATAGTGTGGCTGAGTCCCCGACCATAGTAGAAGAGAACCGAGAGGAAGAGTATGAGGATGACTTTGAAGAAATCACATCCGAAATATCGAGGAGTCGTCCTGCTAGCCCTGCGGCCAAGTCAGCGACTCCCAGAATCTCTGTCGCTCTCGATGAGGTCCTCGAAGAACTCGTACCGGTAGAAGAAGACCTTCTGAACTTCGACATGCCGCAGCCGGGGAGCAGAGTTGTAGGTCCGATGATTGAGTCGAAGACTAACGGGGGAGCTATAACATCGTCCTCCCCACGCGGTGGATCTGCAGTGATGTCGGCTGTTGGCATAAGGCAGTCTCCTAGATGTATTCAATGGTCGGCAGTTGCAGCGTCTTATCGGCAGAGTAGTCCAGAGGCTACAGTTCGGACTCATGATGCCTTGACTAGTGCTGATCCGCCGTCCGTGGTTGGGAGCCTGCTAGGGTGTGAAGGATTGGGTTCCGTTGTGCATGATGTCTTTGAAGAGGCGGTGGGAACGCCTACGCCTCGACCTTCCTCGCATCAGACGTCGGGTCCAGCTAGTAGTACGTCTTCTAGAGGAGCCACTCCCAGGGAAGTAAGAGTGGGGTATACAGAACATCGAAGAGCCACTGGGAGCCTCCCACGGCCACGAGCGGTTGGGGAGAGAGAGACGCACCTGGAAGCGACAGACAAGGCTGAGAGCTCCCACAAGAAACACACTGCTGCGTCTCAATACGGCTCCATAGAAGGCATTGAGATCCTGGCTTCGGTTGATCGTTCTGTTCTGTGCCCTACATTACTGAATTACCCTTGTCCTCTCTGCCATAGCCCGGGTCCGGTGGCCGTCCCTGCTGGCCACTCGTTGGAAAGTGGTGCTCGGGATCTGTGGATGGAGTGTCTGCCGCACCTGCGCCCACGAAAGCCTGTTGTATCGCCTCTGGATAGATTCCTAACGAAACACTTTAAGCTAGGTCCTATCTTGAATGGTTCAGAGGAGGTGGCGACGGAACTGGAACAAGCCTGTAGGCATTGGCAACGAGGGTTGCAAGCCGCTGACGAGGGTGAATGGACAGCGGCAATAGACGCCTATCGCTTGTCGTTGGAAGCTCTCCCGTCTCGAGGCGGATTCGAGTACGTCCGTCATTGGAATGCTACGCTGCTCTACCATGCCGGCGGCAACGGTCAGGCTAGAGATCGAGAGCTGCGAGAATGGCGGCGAGTTTGCCGCCTCTCCCTGCCTCGCAATAAGGGCTGCCGTTTGTGCCGTCGATGATCGTATCATAGTATACTAACAGAATTAGTGTTCATGTTCTAACTCCGCTGTTGTGTCGTAACCGGGCAATGGAGCGTGGCTTGAGGAGAATTGTTGGTTTTAAGTAAGCCGAAATCATTACTCTTGTGACCACAATCGAAGTTGAGGCCGCACGGCTACCATGGGAGAGGAGTTGGGTGGTCCAAGAGCAAGTGCGTCATCCGCGGTCCCGATCGAAATACCAGTCTTTGTCGGAACCAAAATAAAGAGAATAAGCGAGGAATCACTATCATAAGAACAGGAAGAGGACTAGGGTGTGAGCTGGACGAAATTCTGATGTCATATCTCTGCCTACGGATTTTGTAGTGTCGTCGGTCACTACACGGTATCAAAAACCCCCGAGCGTCGACTGTGGGAATCGGCAGTGAGCGGAACCCTCCAGACAAGGTTCTCTCGACGGCGTTCGGCAATGCCGAACGGCATGCCGTTAGCTCGACGACTGGTTTTGTGATGGAGCGAGGGAAACCCAAGAACAATTTGCACCCACTGCAAAGGGACGAACCAAGTATCTCTCTGCTACTCGACCGTTGCTGGTAAGACCGCAAGGGTGAGTATGTCTCAGATGTCAAACGGTCGTCGGATTTTGAGTAAGAGACTGAATTGTCGTGATTCGAGAGGCAACGCCGAAGCGCCGTAAGCTGCGTTTTTATTATAAGCAACTTTCGTGAGGGTGTCATTTCAACTGTGAAATTCATAAGGGATTTGAAACGAATGAACTGTTTGGATTTTTCGAAGGTTTTATTACGGGCTGAATTAGTGCGCGGGACGAATTGTCATACACTCATGTGCCCAAAATCAAACTGCTCGTCGAAAGAGCTCTTCATGGTCAAGACGAACTACTGAACTAACTCAACGATGGTGTAGGAGGACAATAACAATCAAGCCTCGAATAAACTTGTCTGCTATTCCTCATAAACTGCACACTAATCACTATCGATTATAACGAGTATTCCGCCCGCAAAAAGAGTCTAGCTGACAGCTCCACACCGCGATTCCGCGACTTGTAAAAGCTGTAATCAGAGTCCTGAAAAAGCAACAAACATCACTGCTAATTGACTAACACCATCATTCGCAACTACGGGAAAACCTATACCGTCTACTTTGGATTAGATTTCCATCCTAAGCGGCATTATAGCTAAGTAGGGAATAAAAAATCACTTCCTATTGAAGGAGAGACCTTTTCCTCGAAGACACAGAACCAATCATCTTCATCAGCTGATATAGACAAGAATGTAGATGATTATAAAATTAGAGTGATATATGGTATTTGTGAAAGCACAGACTTTGATAAAGGACAGCATCATTATTCATAATGATTGTAAACTGTTTCGTTACTCACAAGAACTTAGCGTTACACTCATACAGTCTGTATGATACAGACAGTCGTGTCCAAATGCTCATCAACCAACCGATGACATCAGGTTGATGCACAATATTCCTGATGATTTACAAGATTCTGATTGAGCTTCAAGACTTGCTTCAGTGACCATCATCAGTGACAATGGTAGACGCTCGATGTCCACCATTCAGAAGTGGCTCCACGATGGCCTCCTCTAAGATAGCCTCCTTATGAGTGAGAGGCGTGTCTTGCTTCCACACAGTTATTAGGACCACCCCCATCACCACAATGAACATACCTGAGAGAGGATAGATCACGAAGAGAGGACACATAGATCTCACCAGTGAGCTTAGCGGGAGTGGGGACGACACCCAGAGTAAAGTAAGCAAGCAGCAAGCCGATGATAGAGTTCGATGCGACGATTACGTTAACGACGGCAGTTGACGGATAGGCAAGTGCGTTGTTGAGAGCAATGACGCCGATGAACTGACCCACACCAGAAATACACGGCCAGAAAAACCTGTTCAACAGTCAAAAAAATTCATTTTATCGAGAATGCCAAGTTGTGGTACATGGCCATAACATCATCCCCATCGTTCGTTATGTAAGCTTCCTCCGACCACTGCCAGACGAAACACGCAAAGCCCATAATGAACATCATCAGCATTCGCCCAGTAAAACGAGACCTGAATTTCCATACCCCGAAGTTCAGCTCAACCTAAAGCAACCGGAGCCCACCCTGATGCCATTCCCTCGATACACGTGTAGCGAGTAGCCAGCATGCTAGAGGCAAATGTAAGCATGCCCAATACAGCGTAGACGAAACCAAGGAAATGACCAACACTCGAATCAAAGGCCGCCATTATGACTAAACCTGTTAAAATGAAAATGTACCCAAACAGAAGGAAGAGTAATAAACTCCACCTGTGAGGACGATTACGATGGCCACTGCTTGCATGAAGGTAAGCCTCTCGCTGTAGACGAAGTGACAGAAAACGCCGACAACCTAATAGCAAACCACTTGACTTGATGTACACGATAAGGTGAGCGCATACCATAATGTCGGAGGAGGAGACTGCCATGAGGGGACCAGTAGATTGGGGATCGGTGGCAAATGCACGCTGCATCATCACTTGCGACCAACCGATAAATAAACCTGACTCGAAGTAACACAAAGGGTGAAACTGAAGACACTAACCCTACTTCCAGCCAGTGTTAGCATCTTAGAAGTGGTAGTAACTGAAGTGCCGTCAGCTTTCGAGTGAAGGGCGCCACCAGGAAGCTGCTGATGACGCGAATTATATAATTCTACATCTCGATCGTTAAAAAAGATTGTGCCCATTGTGGACCTGAACCAACGAACCCCAAGCATAGACCAAGACGTGTACACCAAAAGGTTACTTATAATATATGGCAGATAGTAAGCCCCAGAAACCTGAGCTTAGCCAAACTAATCCCACAACTCCCCATGCTGTGGTCCCGGGCTGCGAATTGCAATAAGATAGTAGGAAGTTAGCGACGCCGAACATGACGTTGGCAATCAGCGACCAGACTATGCAGCCACCTTGAACGTGGACCATTCCGTTGAGGAGAGGGTATATAGGAGAACTCCTAGAAATAATGACACGAGCCCGACAGACACCAACAGACCAACGAAGCTCTTCAATTACCAAACACGATAGGGTTGAAGCACCTTGAACATCCTCAATATTGGAAGCTATCAACGCGACACAACGTTGCGATAGTAAGACTGATGGAAGTTCACCTCATATGGAAGTAGGCGCTACTGCCGACGAACAGTGGAACAGCTACTTACATACTCTGGATATACGCCGAAACAAGTGAGCAATCCAAAACTACACATACAACTCTCGATGATGAATGCACATCCCACCCGAGACAGCGACAACGACCTCATCCGTTTTAAGAGGAAGAGTACAAAACCGAACGCCGAATCGGTAAATCGAACATCCGAACAACAACCTCGAAGCCATAAAGGTCTGTTGAGTACAGTGGTGGCAATAGAAGCTCTAAACCCGTTTGAATTGACAAAATGCAATAAACACTTCTAGTTAGCATTACTCTCTTTGTAAGTGAGGACGAGACACACTACACCCTGGGAAAAGCAGCAGGAAAGTTGACGTCGCTATAGCGAATGTCAGCATAGTCGTTGAAGCGTTGCAACTTGCAACCACGAATTACGTGGGCATTTGGCGGCAAGTACCAGAAACAGCAATTACAATCGATTATTCCCAGTACAAGCGATGTGAGTAGATTGCTCGCTCAGATAGAGCTGTTCCACTGCCAAGCGTATAGCATGATTTTTAGTAGTACAGTATTATGAGGTCCTTACGTCCCTGGAAGGGCGATCAAACGTAGTTGCAACTCGAGTAGAAGTAGCATCAATAGTGGTAACGATATAAGTGTGCCAAAAGCAATGTGCTACAATAACGAGCTTTAGGATTTCGTATATTGCTCGCAAACTATTCAGCAATACAGCCAAGCGCGGCATGATAGGAACTACCAATACCATTACTGACCTTATGGATACCAAATATAGACTATCTTACAAAGATATACCAAATTCAAAAAGACACAATCAGTCGTTGCTCAATGGTAGTATAAGTAGTGGTAGTAGTAGCTCGTTGTATCCCAACCTTATACAACGGCAAATGCGCCAGCAACACCAGAACGAGCGGTGGGAGGCAATGGTGACTTCTCGCCAGGGAAAACGGTAGACATACGTGCCTTGAGACTACCACCACCCATACTGGCACTGCGCATATACGAACGCTTAATAAACTCATCACGACGGGACTGGTAGGTCTCCTCTTCCTCTTTAGCCTTCTTGGGTTGCCATAGAATGATGAGAGACACACCACAAATGACAATGACCATACCAACCAGCTTGGAAGTCGTGGGGATGAGGCCCAAAAGGAAAAAGTTGAGGGCGAGAACGATAATAGAGTTGGAGGCAACGATAACGTTGACGGGACCAGTGGAGGGGTACATCAAGGCATAGTTGAGAGCTAGCACACCAATGGCTTGAGATATACCAGCAACCTGAGGCCAGATGTACATCTGAGCCCACAATGACCAGTCCTCAGGGAAGAAGGAGTGGGTGAACACAGTGTAGAGGAGGGCAATGAGACCCATGAAGAACATGACACCCATACGACCGATGAAGCCAGACCATGCTGCCATACCATCTCGGCAACTCTGACGAATACATAATAGACTTGCAGCGAAAGTCAACATACCAAGGATGGCATAGATGAAACCCATGAACTTGCCCGAGCTGCCACCATCGAAAGCAGCCATGACCACCAAACCGCTAAGGACGATGCAAATGGCGAGGACTTGCATAGCGGACAACCTCTCTTTGTAGACAAAGTGGCAGAAGACACCAACAACCTGACCAAAAAGACAACTTAATGATGGGAATCCCAAGCAAGGACTAAACTTACAATAATATCCGAGGAGATGACGGCAGTCAAAGGGCCGGTGGACTTAGGGTCCGTTGCGAAAGCCCATTTCATCATCAACTGAGACCACCCGACGCACATACCTGAGAGAAGACCAATAACGTTAACGTAAGCTGTAGGGGGTATGACATTACCTCCGATGATAGTGAGTATCTTGGCACCCAGAGTCAAACGGTTGGGAGGCAACTCCTGAGGGAGAAGCTGATCGTCTAATTGCCTGTAAGTCTCGGCAGCCTTCAACTGTTCATCAGTAAAGAACATAGCGCCAATGTTCCACCTGAAGAAAGCTCATGAGATCACAGAGGAATGAGTGCAAGTCGCTTACCAGAAATAGATACCCACAAGGAGTCCAATGAGCCCAGAAGTGAGCCAAATCCAGCCAATAACGGCCCAGGGATCAACACCAGGAACGTTCGTGTAGGAGATGAGGAAGTTGACGATACCAAAGGTAATCTGGGCTAAAAACGACCAGGCGACACACTTGGGGGATACTGTGACCATTCTTGGCGCAGCAAAGGAAGAGGAAGAACCAGGCAAACACTGAAATAAGAATGAACATGCCATCAAGTCGTTTTCGCCACTTCTAACGTCATTAGTTCGTATCGACTGATTAACCCTCAAGTACTGCCCTAATACACCCTGGGAAAGGAGGTAAAATGGCAAGCACGGTATCGTGAGTAGGTAGCAGCGATTGGGAACAGCGCTCGCCCCAGACCGTGTCACTAAGCTTGGTATGATCGATCAGCTGCCAGCTATCAGCGCATGATACGCCTCTTGCCATGTAATAGGGTCAGAGGAGTAAAACTTATGGCTTATTGGAAGCTCCGGGTACTCTGTAATTGATGGTCCCGACAGGGTGCATGCTCGCCTCTAGATCGCCAGTGATGGGCACACCGCCCATACCAGAAGAGGAGGAACTATCATCAACCGTAGTAACCTGATGCTCCCAGCAAACACTATTCACTACGGTCACAGAGGTACAATTCCCTTCTCGACACGAGCGTGTCCGAGTACCCATCACCAGCCTCAAGTCCCGCTAGCAGCATCCACGGTAAGCCATACAAGGCTAAGGACCATAAACAGCAGTAGCCCCAAATAGGTATAAGGGCGACCTCCGGTGGGCTCACACGTGTAGGGGCTTCCAGCAATCGCCGTGGTACTAGTAGGCCGACTGGTGGTCTCGGCGGTAAACGCGGTGCCATCTCGACTCCTTCTACAGCATGTAGGCAACCATTACAGCACTGTGAGGGGAGGATGGTCACAGGTCCGACCCCAGAAGGAGTTATCACTGACTCAACTATGAGTTATGTATTTCGAGCGACTGCAGAGCTACACAATGCAGGCAAGCTATCAACCCCCGACCGAACTCTGGCAGTGCGACTAGCTTGCAGTGGTACTAGAGGATTATCCTTCTGCTGCCACTGCATGCTGAACTCTACAGGCGATACGACAGCGTTAACCGCAATGGCCACTCTGATAGCATCGGCAAGGTCCTTCGATGTGAGTCCCTATAGAGGCAGACGCCTTATCACCATGCAGGAACAAGCCAATCAATTGTCCATGTATCTCACGGGTGTACAGCAAGCCAGCTCTATGGCCCAGGGTCCTTGGCAATCACCCAACGTGAGTTCACCGCCATTCATGTAACTAAGCAGGGCTCTGTTCGTAGGTTGGTGGTCCATATCCTTCTGGTTACTATCGTCAACAGTCACCTCCTGGGCAACCTTATCGCCCTATGGATTTACAGTCTACATACCCCCAGCATCATTTCAACAATCCTCAACCCCCTACTGCCATGACTAGCCATGGTACAGTTCGCGTGCGCGAGTGATCTACTAAGCTTGCCATTCAGTGCCGTATCACAACCAGAGGGCAGCCTCGCCGAATTTACACACCTACATACCTCAAGGAGGTAGTGGTAGTGCTGGGGGAGTCATTAGCCCTTCTAGTGATGAAAGCGGGAGACAGCCCTCGCCAGGGTTGTCACCAGCAGCCAGTCCTAGTGTACAACCCCTTTACATGACCGGGTACTCCTGGTCCGTGTCTACATGCCACCCTCACCGTTCACACTATAGGTTCTGTGGCAACCTTCCAAACGATGCCGCCCCGCAGCTCTGGGAGCCTCGAGCCCGGCGACTAGCGTGAGTCATCAGTTCGTACTTACCTGATCCCCGGCTCTCAGGCCAGACGAGTACCCTCCCCTCGTACTCGAGCCCATGCGTTCGTGTTCACCATCATCAACACCACCTTTGCCCAATCCCTCGCCCCACGGGACACCTGTAGCCTTTCGGTTACATTGCAAGGCACTTCGAGCCAGGTACCGTACCAATCCCCACATCAGCCAAGTAATTTCGAGACAATAGCGCGAGTGGTAGCAACGAAGGGAGTCGAGCAGGCCGAGGTGAGCGAGAGTGAAACTACACCCGATGATGGAGACAACTCGTGAACGGGACACTGAAGCTGCAGCTGTAGCTCTTTATGATACACGCATGAAATGCAGCACTAGCTTCTAATGATGATGTTTTCGTTGTGTTATGGTAAGATGATTCTTGTTTCGACAGTCTAATTACACACCTTTATAAGATCGTGCCATAGTGCTAGTAGCATTGCGTGTGCTGTAAGTGTAGTAGTATGTACTCAACACAAGTGGATTAAAATGAAGCATGGATAAAGTATGAAGTCAGTTACACAGTGTAACTTACACTACACCTCTAACAGAACCGTCTCTAGTTACTATCATTGACAATAAATTCCAGCACGGAATATTTCGTCGCTTCTACAACCTCCGTAGTGGCGGTAGGCTTCATAATGATAACTGTTCGCCTCTACGAATGTCCAAGACCAAGCCGTGAGTAATAAGCTCTACGGAACTGCATATTGCTCCTTGGCGATGAGAGATAGCTTTGAACCCTTCTGACATAAACCTCTGGCATTACCACTGCTGCTGTTGGAGCGTTTGGCATTGACGTGGCGATGGCCTCCGTAGTAGGAGAATCATAAAAATAAACCTGAAATATTAATAGCGAAATCGGTCACCAATGGTCACCTATCGGTGAGCATGCAATTTTTGCAATGGCCATTTTTCTCATAGGTTGGATATCTACCAGGTAACATTACATTGCGCGTAGCACTGCACATATCGTAGTTGTAGGTGAGCCCCATGAGCACGAGAGACTGGAAGAGCAGAACGATGAACCGCACGGGACCATTCCGATAACTCTGATCCTTCGACAGTAGGCTCTCTTCAAAATCCTCTAAAGGGCTAGCCCCAAAGGAAGGGGACTAGCTTGCTAAGGGACACGGGCTCGTGGACAGCCTTATTACCATTCTCAAACCTCTCTTTGAATTCCTTATGCAGCCGTGCCTGTAATAATAATCGCGCACCTCATAGGCCGATGCCTCAACACATTACTGCCTCGTGCTGTCCCTGGCTGAGGCCCTCGGATTCTTGTAGGAAATATTCTGCTTCCATCGCTGTACCACCTAAATAGGATCCTTCATCACAACACATCAGTCCTAGTACTGCGCGTATGAGGTCTCTCTGGGCCATCTAGGTCCTTAGTGATATCAGACATAGCGTATAAGGGTCTGAACACCACCAAAGAAAACTATGAAAAACATAATGCTACGCATTAACCGTGGCTATCCCGCGATTTCCTATTTTACCACCTCCCATGCCATGAACGGTTCCTAGAAGTAATAATACCCCTGTGACAAGCTCAACTAAACATTTGATTAACGATAACTGTGGAGTCCGTGTTGGACAGTCCAACACGACAAGCTGGGCTACGCCAGTCATCACCCTACTATCCTCATAAACGCAACAGCCTCAGGACGTAGAAGCATTTTGATTCAAAGAGTCATTTTCATGACGATTCTGCTACCTAATAATGCCGCACGCCGAAGCTGCCTCGTAATACATGTGGAGCAGATGGCCCACCAGACGGCATCACAAGACCAGGGGTTCTAATCACAGCCACAGACTATGTCGGCCTACCCATCCGAGTTGTTTACCTCATAGCCGGACTACGTCCCCGGATGAGGCTATACTGTTGGTCGCTCTGCTCGCCCATAGCTGGCGAAGGAGCTCTCACATATCCACCAGTCGGAGTAGACGGTCGCTGCATGAAAGCTTCCACGGCTGCTGCCTACCAAAAATAGAGTCACGCCTAACCATATTACAAGCTAGGAGCACCTGTTGGATGACCAGGGGTTTCCTATACATGCCAACTGTTCGTGGAGCCGAATGGGGACGATTTTGAGCCGATCCACGTGTCACCCCCTCCGTCACACCTCCTGCCATGGAGCATTCAACCTTCTACTCACGCTCACAGTCCTACCTGGTCCTCCGTTAGGGAGAATTACCGACCCGTTTGAACTTGCAAATGGTATAGTGCCGTTACTTGAGGGCTGAAATCATACAATGACGAGCGTGATCGCAACTGTCAGGGCGTGCGCTCTTCCTCACCTGCCCTTCAACGTGCCCGTTTGGTGTAGAGATCCGCTGCGATGTTGCCGTGGCTGCTATGGAATGTCGTCTTGGTGCTGCTCCCTCCTGTGAGAGTGTGGAACTCCTCCCTGAGCTGCAGAGCAAAGGGATGGAGTAGTGCGCTCGCAATGATCGGAACAGGAGGAATGAGTACTCAGGAGAGTCATCATAATTTCCAACCTTACTATGAGTTAATCGCCGCCGCTGGAGCCGCCGAAGGACGCAGTAGAACATACTGCGGACCAGTAGGAGTATTCACGACCGCGTACTGAGGTTGAGTTTGAGCAGCACCAGATGGTGTTGATGGGGCACGATAGGACTGAACAGCAGCACCCCCTATATATCAAAGTTCGAATATCACAGCCTCGCTAGCGCAGTAGGAAGGCCTTGTGGCTGTTAACCACAAGGTCCGTGTTCGTTCCCGTTACGATGTATTCTCAGAGCAATACTTAGTAAACCCCCGTGTGATCACTCACATATCCGCCCGCCAACCCAGCGGGTAGCGAAGTGCGCGTGGAAGCGGGATAGGCCTGTCGACTCGTGCTTGGATCAGCCAGGGTTCCCCTCCCCGACATAGGCTGTGATTGGTACATAGCCCGCTGGTCGTAACCATTGGTAGACCTGAACTGAACCATAATGGGCACATGTACAGGGAAAAGTGTTGTAGTAGCGAGTCTCAGACACACTGACCATCACCTCCCTTGAGAAGCAGCCATCCCAACTTGCGTAAATCTCGCAGAGTTAGGTACATACTGTCGAGAGCTCATCGGTAGTCCGCCGCCGCCCATGAAGCCTCCACTGCGATAGGCTCCTGAGAAACCATAGAGACAAGCCTCTAGTATCGCTCCAATCAAAAGTACCAAACCTACCTTCTGGAACTTGTTGAATTCTCGATGACAGGCTGCCACCACCGTTTCCTGCTGGAATACTACTACTCCGCACCGACGAGGAAGCAGCTGCTGTAGCGTTCATGGCCGGCCTCGAAGGCATGAAATAGTCCATAGCCGGCGCTGTGATGTATCCTAGAGGTCCTCGGGAAGGTTCTCTCTGAGCTGCAGTGGCGCAGTGGCTGACCATACCTAGTACATTATGGAGTTTCATCCGTTTTACGTGAAATGACGTAATTCTCTGTGAAAAACGCGATATTCACGGTGATATATATTTTTCACTAATGTGTTTTTCATATCACCAGGATGAAATTCCTATGTGATAACTATAGACAATGTGAAGGTTATAGCCAGCACTGACCTGTCGAAGCACCCTTTTCAACCACTGGTTCATAGTGTGCCACAGACGTGGGCGCACAGGGTGCTGGTGGTGGCGGTGCATGATGCTGCTGCAGCGGCGGGTGAGTGATGACGCTATCCTCCTGATAACAGAACTTGTGTCATAAGCAACACATGGCTAGTATTCACTTCCGCGAATGCAGCCGCGTATTCTGAGGCCGCAACACAGCGAGAAATCTCGGCCGAAACATTCTCTTGTAATAGCTTCTCACAGAATGACGTGAACAAGTCCGATTTAACCTGGACGTTGAACCTTACCAACAACAGCGTGGAAATCAACAAGAAGAAAATATCGCCACTCTCCTCACCTGATCTTCAGCAGAAACTTATTCTCCATCTTATTCAGCTCTGCATTCGAGAGCACCGGGAATAACTTAGCCAAGCTAGAGTTGCGCACGGGCTTGTCCTCCCACATTTTATCAGCGATGAGCAGTGACGTCAAAAATAAAGGTCTCCACGTACCTGTACTCTCACCATCGTCACCATCAACAACATCACCCTATCCCCCCCTGACATACTTGCATGCAATGATATTTGACTAGACTCCTTGAATCTTGACAGGTAACTGAGCACAGTGATCGGTAGTAAACACGAGTAGTAGGTAGTAGTACTACTACTACTACATGATAGAGACAATGAATGCACTGACTGAGAATAGTCCCTGATGCAGTATACTTAGTATAAAGCTACTAACATGCATTGCCGAGGGGTCCGACACACTGTTAATAAATACTGAATTAACCTTCTCTCCAGATGCCTTCTTATCATAATACCTATACCACAACTATCTCCACCACCACCACAGAGGCGTTCGCCTCTTACTGTGGCTCAAAGAAGAGTTGGAACATCTCATTAGTCTTCATTCGCCTCAATACTTCGTTATCAGTTCGAATATGTCTAACATACTCCCATCACCACCATCATCATCATCTACTCCCAAGCCCACCTGTGAAAGAATTGAATTCCTGCAGTCAACAGCTTATCCTGCATGGCAGAAAAACGTCTCGTGCCAGGAGCTCCACTAGCACTAGGAGCGCCCACGTGCGAAGCGTCTGCTACGGGAGGACCATTAGACATGTTGGAGAAGTCCTGAGATGTGCCCTCGTATACGACACTGCTGTTCCCAGTAATAACTGTACCTGGAAAATGCAGTGGCCACGCTCAAAGAAGAATGCTCTCATCATCCAGTTGTGAAAATCACCGCATTTCAAGAGTTTCCCGACTCTCACAGTTGTTATCCGCGGAATCGCGTAAAGTGTTCTTGTTCCGCTTCACCTCGTGGCAAGCACCAGAGACCTTCTCTTCGTTATAAGTTGACTTCAGTGAGGAGTTTGATTGTGAAGGGAAAGGGCGGCGAGCAGCAGTGACCACCGACATAGACGATTCTACTAACTTTATATTTTCCCAGATCATGACCAACCCATTGACATGTTAAACAATGAACGCACTGGATTTCTGAACGGCGGATTGGACAACTCTCTCGGTAATGACACAAATGTCTTGGGATGGTGGTCGCTATTGCCAAGCAGAGAAAAAAGGAACTCTCTACTTGTAGTCCATAGGGGCTTAGTTATCGATCATAAGCATTGTCATTCTTCCCTACTTATTCTCATTCGCAATACCATCGCAAAAGAGAGAACATAGTATAGACAATGATAAAGATACAACCACAACAGCGACTACAACAATAACAACAAAAACACCACCTTTTCCTCGAGGCTGACGACGGTGGCGTTCACTAGTTATTATTATTTTACCAAAACTGACATAACAAAATCAACATACGCAAGCAACACACCCGATGGTCATTATAAGGCAGACACTGTCTGAGACACTTCTCTATTGATTATGGAATGCGATCACCAACAGAGAGCTCCTCCACTCTCCACAAGTACTAACAGCAACCACAATCACCGCAAAGAACTACTCCTATGGTGTCGAGGACCCGGTGCATACACCATAGGACGACGACACCATCCAGACAGATATAAGCACAAGTCAACTGACACATCTATCCATGCGGATAGAACCCTATCAGTATCGTCAACCAGGGCGTCGACGATAACAATGGCCATCATCATCTTCACACAGTGTCAGCAAGGATAGTAGTAGTAGCAACAACAATAGGTACACTTAGCATCAATAGTAGAAAAAAAGATTTACACACCGAGAAGAGAGTCGATGATGATGATGATGAAGATGTTGAGTTATATTGTACAGATATATTGAGAACAGAGAAGACACGCGTCGACAGAGGCAGCACTACTAGAGCGGCGGCGGCTGCGGCGGGGAGCGAAACGATAGTAAATGGAGCCAGAGCAGCAGCAGTAGCATTAGCGTTAGTCCGAGAGCCCAATAAACGATAGCAGCAACACGGGAGGTTAGAATACTATATCAGGGGTGATGTTGTTGGCAGCAACAACAACAACAGATTCAACAGATACAAATAAGTAATGTTGAATCCAAGGTGTTTCAATGATCACGGTCGTCAATTAACTCCTCACCATGCTACCCATGATGATGGTCATCATCATAAACCGATGCCACCCAGAACCTATACAAGCACTCTCGTCCTCTGTATATATATAATAACAATACATGCTGCCACGACAGCAACAACGATACTGGATCTGGCCAACGCCAACAACAACAACAACTCATAGACGCTTAGTGACGCTTGCTTTACGCGTTGAGCCACTTTACCACGCAGCAGCAGCAGCCCCACAACTGGGAGAAAAATGGCGAAGCGATGCTCTTCTACCCAAACAACATGATGTTGTCTGCTCAACACGGTGACCAGCACTGCTACTACCGAGATTAGAACCTCTAATACTGATGGTAGATATTCGTATTGCCAATACTCTCATTGTGTATTGATTATTGGTATCACCCACTCGCTCCTGCCAGCAGAAGCAACGAGAGCGTATCGACTTGAATACCACCGACCAACCATAAACCACGAGCGACCAGACATATAACCGTTACTATAGTAACAGAAGCACCATTGAGCCGCTACCACAGCTAGTAGACAGGTCGAACAAAGAGCAGAGCCAATAAGAGGTAGAGACTGAGTAGTACCGGGAGGAGACGATGAATACTAGACTCACAATAGCTAGTGATGACAGAGGTGAGAGTGAACCATAGTGCTGCTGTTACTGTTGCTGATGATGACGATGATGACCAAGACCTTGCAATGTTTTCGGTGAATCGTTAGGCCTTGACGAGCCAGTAGTAGTAGTAGTAGTAGTAGTAGTAGTAGTAGTAGTAGTAGTAGTAGTAGTAGTAGTAGTAGTAGTAGAAGAATAAGTGACAGCCTTCGAGTGAGAGCTGAGTTTTTGTTATCTGCCAAATGTGAATACCATCATCACCTATCATATGTCGAAGCCGCCTTACTTTTCAAAAAAAGGATATATCGACGTTGTTCCGCGAGCAGAATATCGATCGTTAGTCTAAAAGAGCTTGTATACTCGATAACGCGGAAGTATCTAAGACCAAGCAGCCTCAAATTCATAACAGTACTAATAGTAGACGACTCACCCAAATCTTCATAACTCTCGGGCATGAAGGCCGCCGCAGCCAGAGCATCGTCATCCTTGCTAGTAGGACCCCTCATATACGCTGCTGAGCCGGCGCCACTACCAGCAACAGAGTAGTCCTCGACCGATTGGACGGAGCGACGGACTATCTCCTTAACCTCAGAGGCCATCATCTATGGACAGAGTTAGAATATATAACCGTTTCCTCAGCTGAGCTCACAGATTTTAACACCCACTTAAGAAGATATGAATCCGGGTACAAGTCTATAGACAGCAACGAGAGTTTTCCAAAATTTCCTCAAAATTTTCCTATCATCACCAACACGTGCACATTTGCCCACTCTGTCACCAACAGAAGTTGACACCAACATGAGCGGTCCCCCTCTCACCTGAATGCAATGACCAGGACATCTCGCAGCCTCCACGAGAGCTGTAGTCACTGCTTCAGACGGCCCCAGCGCTACATACGATCCGACCATCCCTGGACGACATCTACACACACGACCGATACACCAGGAGCTGCGACAAATAGAGGCGCCATTACGTATTGAGACCGTAAATAACAGCAAGGCTTTTGAGAGTAGACAAGCCTGGCTCAGACAGCAACTTCTGTAAACTTCGCTCGAGTAGACCAGAATATGCCGGGACGTTTTCGCGTGAAAGTGACTGAGAACAGTATCTCTATAAAAGCCCCGTTTCCTAATAATAACTCACATAGACGAGCATGGCTAACTCATTAGAGGATATCGACTGAAGTCCCATCTCCTCTACAGAGCTGGCTATCGCTGGCAGCACCACGGTCTCTAAAGCTAGCCGAGAAGGGCCGAGGAAGGCGAGCTTGCAGAGGCTTCCAAGAGGGACTACTAAACAGAAGATGACCGTCAGCAAATTCATTAATAATGATAACGACCGACTTACCGTTGGTTTGGGGCGCCTCATTCGTAAGAGACCGCAACCGCGAGATGCAAGCCTCTATCTGTTCGTCCTCGACTTTCTGGCCATAGTAGTCTCGTAGGAAAAATAGGTCTATCGTATCCGTTAGCGAGTAGGGCGCTGCGTCCTCGACCTCTCCTGAATAACAATACAACATATATTCTCACCTCCCATCATCAGACACATGACTCACCAATAACACTGAAGTGAGCATAGACCACATCAGTGAGAGCTGATAGACGAGCCCATAGATCTTCACAATTCTGCGTGTCTTTAGTGAAGAAGGACAGGACCGAAAGGCAGGTGCCCGGCAAGAGCTGCTCGATCCTTGTCGCTGTGCACGCATCCTCCGACAAAGTGTCCAAATACCGGCTGGCGTCTTGAGGACCACACTGGCTCAGGGTCGATGCCAGGCATGACCCCAAAGTCGAGATCATCTCGGGCTCCAACGCAGTAGCTGACAAAAACCCAATGAGAAACATAGAAAGTATTCCTCAGGAGCTTACCATTCTGATAATAGGCTTCTGTGAGTGCAGATAGCAAGCCCTTAAGCACCGGTTCATCAATAACATCAAGACGCACGTCAGCTGAGACACGGGACACTGAGAATCATACTTGGGGTAACGCCAAGAGCAGTACCAAGTAGACTGGCAATAGCTATCGAATCGGCTAGTGTCGATGCGAGCTGGTCCGATCCTGATTCAATGGAGGCGGCCGCGACTAGCGCATCAGAAATGAGAGCTCCGAGAAGGGCAGAATAGGACTGAGCCTCTTCGAGTAGGAGGCTCAGCAAGGGCGTCACCAAGGACGAAAAATCATCTAATCAACAACTATTAGGGAGACCTAGTGGCACGATGATTACCTGTGAGAGCACGCATGCGCTGCACCAACGGCAAGGACAGATCGTTCTGCTCAGCCATGGCTCGGGCGCACATTGTAATGATTGACGTATTAGAACGTGATACTATAGCCTTAGACTCTACACCTACATCATACTACATAATACTACACCAGCCCGAAGAGTCCACTTACCGCGAGATTGGCAACTCTCAGAGGCTACTACCATTTCTAGTGTAGATATCAACTCAGGCATAGCAGAAACAGAGAGATCGATATCCCCAGACACGACACGGGCACCTGACAGTCATAGCTTTAGCAACAACACTGCCGAAAGGGGTCACTCACTTAACACCTCCAATGCACCAGGACGGTACATCTCCATAACGGGCAAACTAAGTAGACTTAGTGCACCCTTAAGCGTCCAACCCGCCCCTTCAGCTTGGATATACTCCTGTGCTAGTAGATCGTATAAGCCATCATCAATAACATGAGTCTCATCTCCAACAGCCGAGCCACCGCCATACCGGAAGTAGGCCAACAGCTTGCACATAGAGATGGTCACAGAGTCTAGTTGCTCTTGAGTGTATCCTCTCGCCCTAGTCATCAACAACTTCTCAGTTAAACTCTGTAGAGTCTCTATAGGCATCGGGCACCACTCCAAGGTCTCGCTGTTCATCGACATAGCAACGACATCCATTGCCGTTGTACCTGATGACCATTGACCTCTTTCCTACTCCTCCTCCTCCTCATCAATCTTACATGCTTCCAGCAGCTGAGTTAGACTATTGCTATCCAAGCTTTGTACAGCAGATGCAGATATGTTGCCAAAGACCTGATGAATCCTCCTATAGTCGAGTCTTCACATCATATAGACGCTACCGTGTCCAAGAACTCCTTATTGACAATACCCACGTTGACCAAGGCCCAGGATATGTTGCACACTTCCAAAGGCTTGAACTTCATCAACAGAGAGCTGTTCTCAGAGAGGTATGCATCCACTGTATCAAGGAACTCTCTTGTAGCCTCAGCAGCTGACGCCGACGTGCCCGTGATAGGCACGGCTGTCGACCGAGCACTAGGGTGCGACATTGGTGATGAGGCTGTAGTTGATGACTTCGTTGAAGAGCCTTCTGACCGACTACTATCACCAAGACTACCCACAGGAGTACCTACGAGGAAGTCAATAACCGGTGTTATCTGAAATGAAGGTGGACTCACCCGCCCCTTCGCGTGTAGCGTTGTCACCGGCATTATTAACATTGTCATTGTTGAGGCTGTTGCCCTGATAGTAGTAGCTCAAGGACCATGACATGTTTGCTATCGCCTGGGGTGAGAATTCACTCAATGCCCAGTGCTTCAAGGAGAAGCGTGCGACCACTTCACATACTTTGCATATATCGCCATTGAAGCTGAGAACATCCGTCAATACCTCTAAACCACGAAGGAGGAGGAGGGCCTGCTTACTCGTATGCCGCAGTAGCGATAGCCCACATGACCGAGGCCAGCTCCATAGGCTTGAACTGCGAGAGGCAACCTCTATCGTACATGATCTTCTGGCAGACACATTCGTACCTAATTCGAATCATACAGGGACTAGTTCAAGGTAAGCCTACTTACATGAGATCGCTCTCTGGGCAGTCGAGGCGAGCGAGAGCCCAACTGAGATTAGCCAAATCCTGCGGCTTCAAATCACTATGCAAAGTCAATGATTTGTGAACAACCTGAGAGACAACAGCACTGATTCGTCCCAAGCCGCATTCACGTTGTTACTCTCGATAAGAGGTCGTGGTCAACAATGTGAAGCTTAGCCATAGCCCAGGCCAGAGTGGCCAAATGCTGGGGTGCAAAACCTTCGACCGAGTCGCATTTCCCGAGCAAAGTCTGAATCTCGAGGGAATGTTCACTCTTAGCCTCATGCAAGTGGAACTTTGCCAAGCGGTGAAAGGTGGTGGCCCAGTTGACGCTGTTGAACTGAGCACCTGAACACCAACCCCCATACTAAGAGAGATCAATACATCATTACCACTTACAGTGTTTTTTAGCAAGTGCCAAGATCTGCTGGGCCGTAGCGTTAGGATTGGTAAGCTCTCTATTCCACGCTATGTGTTGACTCTTGAACGCAGCAGCACTCATCGACCGTCCATGCTGGGACGACGACGAGCCAGGGTGTTGTTGCTGTTGCCTTCTCCCAGTGGAGTCCAAGAAGGAGGCGCTACTGACGGCCTTAGGCCTTCGTGAATGCATAGGTGGTGAACTCCTGCCAGTCAATGAGGGTGCCACTGCCACTGTGGTGCGACGCTGAAAGGGAACTAACTACATTCATATGAGCGATAATAGGCTTACCTGAGATATCAGATTGGTCGAGTTCCGACGAAGACGTTGGGCCTCGCGGTCAAAGCCACCCATAAGTGGGGGCTCAATAACTGGTAGCGAATAACGCTTCTGATTCATCCGAGCCCCCAGCGACTGTGTGCTATCAACATAACCACTATTGCGACCTCCAGCACTCATATGTGAGGCCGCATAGAGGGCTGTAGAGGCTGCTGTGGGCACACCATGACGAGGGGCTGAGGGGCCGCCTGACTCTAGACCAGGATAACTAGCTGCCTCTGGCAGGATGGAGAAGTTCGACGGGATTGTCGTATGTCGGCGACCTGAAGAGCTGATAACCAAAGGGGTATAGAGGGCAGGTACTCACCCCAAGGCGAAGGCCACGCTCCCCTCTTGCGAGGCTGCAGTTGTGGAGTGCAGAATCCAAGACTGTCCAAAGCTGGTGACAATGGCAATGGCCCCGCACCGAGCCAAGGAGATGAACCTAATCACAAATGACCGTTAACCCCTCAAGGGGCGATTATTGGCAGTAGACTGCGAACCCAACGACGACAACAAGACGACGACTGTCCGCACCTCCAATGTCACTCATCGGCCCAGTCCGCGACATCTAAAGTAGACAGCAGTGGATAGTAGGCATGGCTTCAAGGTTAGAACTCACCATAGAAGGGGCAGGGGACCTCCACGGGTCCAACTCTGTGGGGGCAGCATCCACCCACGAATTACCATCATCACGATCATTACTAGGCATGGGAGAACCTGATATCCTTCGCTGTGCGAAGAGTCCAACACATGTAATAGTAGTAGGATCTTACCAATTCCTTTGGGACCCTGCGATACGGGTTCAGATTCTGCCTGGTTTCCAGGCACTGAACCGTTACTGGTGGTATCAGACGAGTTGGAGGAGTGACTCGCTTCAGCCTCATTCTTCTCATCGAACACGCTGGGAGGTAGATATTTGGCCGCCTGAGGTGAAGGCACATGCATAGCGTGTTAGGTCCTTGAAGACTGTACTTCATCTAGTAGGGCCGCTGTGGTTGTCACCGTCCACTTAGAATCAGACAATGGAGAAGCTTGCTGAGACATATGGGCTGGTAAAACCAATAACTACATCAGTTCCTTGACCCACGACTACTCTCTCACTATATTCCCTTCCCCTCAGTATCATCAACCGCTCTATTCTCCGTGGCAGTCGCCACATTGCCGAGTGCAACTCTGTGTATGTCTAGCCCTCCAAAGATTCCGTCCAAACCTAGAGTCTACCCCCTCCCCTCCCGAATGCTCTCAAAACTGCCTTCCAACCACCGTTCATGTTCTCCCCTTCTCTGAAGGATGCCCCCGTCAGATTCGCTATGCTAGTTCACCTCGGCAGTACCCCAAACCAGTGGCGCTTTCGAGCTAATCACTGCAAAGCCGCATAGAGCCCTTCAGTCATCGTATAGCATTCGACAGAGCGAACATATTAGGTACCACTATGTGCAGGTGGAGACCTATGGGGATTATAGCTCACAACAGCAACGAACAAAGCGAAAAGTGAAAATAATTTTCATTTTTTGAGCGGAGCGATGTACGCATCGACTCCATCACTCAGACCCTCGCAATACTCCTTGGTTTGGACCTTCCCCATGGGGTGTAAAACGAGTTCAATACCAAACGACGTGGATGCATACAAGTCCATTTACGCATTCTCAACTGATAAGAGACCTAGAGGGAGGAAGCTTTTCGAGATGTATCACAAGAAGAAGCATCAGAGACTGGGACACCGCATGGAGTCGCAAGAGACTGATCCCGGTGATGTGGAGGGCGGCACATGTAGCATGAGGTGGCTGGTGGAGAGGGATGATAAGGGAGTCTCGACAGGTACCTTTTCCTCGACTGAACAGATCCCTATTGAAGTAGAGTACTCGAGGAGCTGGCCTTCTAGTAGGTCCACGACGTGAGCCTCATTAAGGAGCTCTAGTGTCAGGTCCACAGTGCAAATCTCGATTATGTACCATCCATGAACATTCCCCCCTAACTACCGCCAAAGTCTTCTGTATTGACCATAGCAATCCTCATCATAGGGATTCCAGTATTCACTATAGGCAGCACCAGTCCCGTCGCAGTGGACATCCAGGCCGTGGTTCAAGATCTGAGGTCCGCTGCCACAAAGTGTTGGCAAGGGACGTAAGGTGATCCCCATTGTATCGTTATGGTGTATCCCTCTGCAAGTCTGTGTACTTGATTTCTTCTATGCTAACGCTACTCCTACAAACCAAAAGTCATCCCTCATTTTTACAATTTTTAAGCAACCAATTTTGAAGGACAATTTCGGGATACTATAGCCATATTAATATGGTAGTAATAGTATCATCTCCCAGGTCTAGACTTGCCACATAAGTCTCCTCCACATTTTCGTGTTGTGTAGTCTGTGGGGCTACTGCACTGTCATCAGAAGTTGCTTGAGTGCTTCTATCGTTGCCGCTGCCTGCGGTTCCATGGGGTGTGGTCAGAGTACATTGCCGCGTCCTGCTGAAGGAGGTGCACTACAGAAGACTCCTGTGGTTGATGAGTTCTTTGACTCGGCTTATGATACGCCCAAGACGAGAAAGCCTCGTCCTATAGCCATGGGCAGGCCGCCTCCCTCGCCGAGAGTCTCGTCCAATAATAATGTGGCCAAGGAGTGGTATGGAGGTAGTAAGGGTTCAGTAGGAGGAATAGTGTTAGTCCATTTCGCATTAGGTGGGTACGTGACACCGCGACGTGCCTCTCAGCCGAGGCCAAGGAGGAGGAGGATGATGAGCAGTAGTAGCTTTCGTGGTGGAAGTGAGGGCTCCCTTTTAAAGGTTCATGTCGAGGTCTTCACTACAGGTCCACGAGTCAGCACTTCACAGTTGCTCGGTCTCAAGGACCCGTCCCCACGGTCTGGTACTCCTTCTACTACGACATCCTCTCATCAAGTTGCCCCCAGCCCCTTGCCAATGTATTGTTCCCCTCGTGGTAGAACGCCAATCAGGAGTCTAAGCGGCTGCTGCAGTCCAGCGGTCAGCAGCAGGACCCCTCGCCATGGTGCTCCCCTCAGGGTTAGGGTGGAGTCCAGAAACCTAGGTGTAGGAGCCTCCCATCGCGTACAGGCCGCCCCGTCGGCGGTCTTCCAAGCGTGGTAACTGTCGACTTATCATCCTAACGCATGTACTTTACATTTTACTCAATGTTCCTCACTGTATATTGGAGGCTAGGGAACTGCCTAGGCACTTTCTTATAGAGCAAAGTATACCTCTCAACAACTACGACTTGTTCAGTTCGTGATGGTATCACTCGCGTATTAATAGCGTTTTATTTGTATGAGGATCAGCGGTGATGGCTTCGCTTCGCCTGTCCCTGCTGCTACATCTGCTGTAGAAGACTACGCGGCTCGAGTGGAGGAAGCCTCGGGAGTAGCCACAGAAGCCGCCATAGTAGAGCAACAGGCTATGGTCCATGATAAGGCCAATAGAATGCAAAATGCTATAACATGTCGGCTCCTTTGGGGACTCTATGTAAAGACACTATTCCCCATAGGTTATGTCCAGGCCAGTAACAGACTAGCAGAAGCGGTGTCCCTCCTGCCCAGTGCCCATCCAGATGTCAGAGCTATATCTCAGCATAGGGTGAGGACTCCTCACTGAGGAGGGTGATCCGCTGCTGTAGCACGAACATCCTTCCAGGCCGAGGTGGACTCCCGAGTCGCATACTTGCGTACTATGATGGACCAGGGGAGAACAGAGTCAAATTTGCCTTTGGAACATCACATTAAATCAGTAGGCTCATCACCCTAACTATAATGCCAAGTACCTATAGGTATCCCTCACTATGACCTCCTCTGCGATGGCCCCTCCTGGCGAGGGCCGATCGACTGCTGGACCAAGCACCACTGAGGTCGGGGCAGCAGCGGCTCTTGGGGGCTTGGGAGGGATGCTCCTGTTGGGTACTTCCTACTGTCTATTGCCTAACACAGTGGTACATCTAGGTCCATTCGGGATGGTAGCAGGGGCTGCTGGTGCGGCTTACTGCACTACACGTAACGACGCTGTGGGGTACGCGGCACGGGGAGCTGGCTCTTGCACAGCGGCAACCGTCCATCAGGTCGGGGCACCACATTAGTGCTATGCTGTTATACTTGTCTTTTTGTGGTGGTAGGGTACGGAAATAGCCCAGCGGTATGGTATCGGTCAGAGAGCCCAGAGCTTGGTCACAGGAGCAGCTGTGGTGAGTGAAGAAGGGTATTATGTGTCTAGTTGGATTCTTCTTATCCTAGAGGGCGCGAGAGCTCAATGACAACTACCACGTCACAGAGAACCTACGCGCTGGTGCAGCAACGGCAGGTAGGCGACTGACTGAGTTCAATCAGCAGTACCAAGTGACCGATCGGGTAAGTCTACTGTTAGGAATACCTCTGAAGTGCTTGCCCTCTTCAGATTGGGTCGGGACTGGCTCGTGGTGTGAGCGCTATCGGTGGATGGCTTTCGGGCAATCCTCAGGTGAGCAACAGTCCATGTTACTCGTCTGCCTGGGTGCTTCTCAGTCCCGTCAAGCTTGAGTACGGTGGTCGACAATGGTGTACGTCTTCATAGGGCCTCTCATGACATCCACAGCATGTTGTTCTCTTGCTATATGTTCTTTACAATTCTGCTCCTCAATTGATGTAAGCGTATGATTAGGAAATTTGGAAACTTTTGTAGTCACGAATCGCCAAGAGTGTTGTGTTGAATACGTTGCCTTCATAAGTGTCGACGTTGCATTCCTTCCCAAGATGAACTCCTTGGAGGTATCATTCGTTTCCCCAGTAGCAGAAACCACCACCTACAGATAGTAGCCCAACCAAATCGTACTTCGTAGTACGTACTATCCGTATACCACACCTCGCATCTCAAGCGGCGGAGTTGAATACCTCGGATGGATATTTGTGATGTGTACCACTTTGTGATCCACCAATCTAGCAGCCAGTAGGGCGTTCACACCCCCAACAATCTTTGACACTGATAGTATAGAGTCACTCGACCACTCTTATTATTCTGTAAGACCGTCTTGTGTGCATCTATCCTCTAGCTGGAATATTATAGTAGTTCAAAGTGAGTACATCAATCGTTGTCGTTGATATAGACGATTAGATTCTCATTATGTCTGTAGTACTTCCCCTGATGCAGTCTGACCATGTTATTGATGATGTTGAGTTGAACTAGGGAGGTGATACTCCAGTTACACACATTGTAGAGGATGCTGGTGCGGCCAATGACAACGTCGGTTACGAGCACATACCAGAGATCTGTAACTTCAGCCTGAATGGCTCTGAATCTACCTGTCATCTGGGAGCATTCTCTATCCAGACGGCGAATTCATATTGTCGACTACAAGGGAATCTCTAATACAGTGGAGCTCGCGTTATATCCTCTTTATCCCTATCTGAGCCTACTCACGTGAACCATGGAGAAACGACTAGTTAAACCATTCACGAGCTTTCTTGATGGACCACCACCTTTGAACTATTGACAAGTGTATAATGAACACAAAACGGCACGCTAGCGTGTATACACTAGGAACAGGTAACACTTAAGGGAAACTCGGTGGTGAGGGAAAGATACTACTTGAGGATATATGATGTAATATGATATACCTATGGTATATATTGTATGCCATAACTCCAGGTGGAGCAGCTTGATCTCAATAGGCCGTCTCTCAACGACAAGATAAAGAACAACAAGGACGACGACGATGACGACAAAGACGAAGAAGAGCACTGACGTTGATAAAGGCGTCCACCACCACCACCAACCTGTACTACATTCAGGCTTCCAAACGCTGGTTCCTAGGGTGATAATGATGTTGGATAGCAACCAGTAGTACTGGAAGCCCCTGCATACATATAGCACAGTCTAGGACGACTACGACTACGACGAGGTGGTGAAGCCAATGCTGTTACTACCAAGGTGAGAATATATGAAGTGATTAGAGCGCGGTAAGAGGAAATATCGCATACCCAACTAGAGTATCTACTACTGATGAGGATAGGTTCCTTAATATAGTCTAGACATGCCTCCCAGCAAGTTGGAGAGGCTATCTAAAAAGTCATCCAGTTAGCAGACAACGACTACGAGTCATTGACTAGCTAACATCAGATGACTGCGAAACAGACTAAATGACAACACGAGAAATAGCTGGTGTTAGTGCTGCCGCTTTTTAGTTGTAGATCTGAGGAGGCTTACTACAGTCATATATGTTGCACTGACTTAGCACTGTGTTGGCCAACCACAAATCCAATCCACTTGCCAGTACAATACCAATGTTAGTAGAAGCAAAGCCCAAGTTAACCGACAACTGTCTAAGGTCATCTGGGATATCCTCCTTACGTTGTATCTGATACATACAGTTGACATAAGAAAGCCCTCCCATTAGACCAATAATAGCGGCCAAGGGTATGTATAGATAAAAGCCGGCTAGACCAATACCATACCTTATGAAGTGAGTAGTAGCCTCAAAACCCCAAAAGATGGCGTTACATGCTTGAAGAACGGTCGGCACCCAAATCCATTTAATACGGAAGAAAGTCACGGACGATCTAGAGATGGTAACACCAACATTATACCCAATCAGCATCATTTCATAAGAGTTAGCAGCAACATAAGCAGAGTGCACCTTGTCCACATTGATAGAGGCCCTGTCCATGAAGCCAGACTGTATGAAGTACTCAAGGAAGTACACAGCGACCAAGTTGAAAATGATGAACCCCGCATGCTTGCAAACGCCAATGAAGGACTTGAAGTTGAGTTCAGCTGAGTTCTGCGTCTCGTCATCCTTGGAGCCCTTGACAGTCCTCTTATTCGCCTCACGGTTAATATAGAAGAAAGCACCAAAGTATATAGGCGTAAGTACATTCATAACCAACATGATCACAAATCTAGACCAATGGAAGACGTTGAGAAACAGCATGTAAATAAGGGGAGCGAAAATCCCCGAAAGGCCCGTACCAAGGCCCCAGCCACCCACAAGGCTAGGCGGTAAGTGATGCAGCTGACTCAGATTCAGCACTTCACCTAGTGCTTGAGAAAAGCCAGTGCTGACCGCTCCTGCCAGAGATAGGCCGAAACCAACATTATCATTAGTCATCTTACAAGCTATAGCAAGCAGGACATAGGCAACAGTTTGTAGAACCAGGCAGGCTATAATTCTGACTAAAAAAGGGAAGTGTAGAAAGAACTTAGAGTGCAATATTGTCATGCCGAAACACGCAGCCAACAAGACCATGCTGAATGATGACATAGCATCTTCGTGATGGAACTGTTTCGCAAGGTCTTGCGAAACGGTAAAGACAAAGTTGTAACCCGTATTATTGATAAATCCGCACACAGTAGTGGCGACAAAACAGGCGACATAAGTCTTTCGAACAATATGCTCGGCAGAGTCCTCGTCCTTCTTGTTGTTATTGCTGTCAGTGCCGGTGTCCGTGAGACCATCATCTTTACTATCTAGTTCCACACCAGATGAATCGGACTCGGACGATGCGAGCCGTTCCATTTCTCCAGAAGATGTTTTGCTTTCGATGGACATAGAAAGAGGCAAAGAAATATAGAAACCTATACGTAAAATCCAAAGTACCCGAGGGAATTTATCGCTAGAGTAACGATGACGGTGAAAACGATAGCGTGGTATCACATGTAAAAAGCGCGCGCCTAAAAAATAGGCGTCGTCGTCTTCATTTTTGTGCCGATGCATAAAAACTAAACATCTTATATACCTTCCTTCGAAATGATGTAAGTGTGGTAGTATAAACAACCTCAACAACAGACTAATACTATAGTGCTACACACGCAGCGTTAAATCTCACTTGCTTACTGCATTAAGGATGTTACATTATCATACACCAACTCCTACTCCTCATTGTCAGACACGCATGAGTCAATCATGGTAACGCCTGATACGAGAAGACATCCCATTGGATAGTGGAAGCTCTTGCTGGTATAGCAAGCTGTATCGCCTCAGAGAAGTTCGTGGCGGCTTTCCATATACCACGAGTAGATAACATATTAACGGGTTGAATTTCACAACATGTAGCCTACGAGCCACCGAATCTAGTATGGTATCGACTTAATGCATACGATATGCTGATGACGATTGGTTGTTGTTGTTGTTGTTGTTGTTGTTGTTGTTGTTGAAGATTCTGTCACGTAGTTGCACTAGTTTGTGCACTGTATCACAAAGATGTAGCTGTTTCATTGTTTTTGTCTCTTGCTGTTCACTACGGTTCCCATAGGTTTCCCGAATTTCCTCATCGATACACGTTTCTAATTGTTCTAAGCCTATCCAATGTCGAACCCAGAATCAGTAAGATGACCCGGTCTTACTGCATATGGAAGACCTACGTGCACCCGACTTCAAGCCACCAGCCGATGTGAATGTTGTCTGAGGATGAACACAAGCACACACTAACTCATCCGCGATGTTCTGATGACTACTGCTGTGCTCGCCGTGTTGTTGTGCTCATCTTCAGAGCACCAGCCCGCAACAGTACTGTCCTTACCGTGAATGCTCGATCGCCTCCATATAAACTCATCCGATAGCAACCTTGAGTATGCGTCATCAGAATCGTCCATGAACACACTCTCACCTTATTGGTGAATCCCTATCGTCCGTCGTACCCCAAGACGACGATGAAAGCCGAGACGAACGGCGACGGGGATCTGACAGTGAAGGTGCATGTCGTAGGCATGTCGCTCTCCACTGCAGCAGCCTACTGCGAAACGACAAGTCCATATCATCAAAGCAACGATTTCCTCGGACCTGCACAGCATACAGCCCTACAAGCTCGGCTTCAGTTACCTTGCGATGTCGCCCTCGAGCCATTAGTGCAGGCGGGGGACTACCACGATTCAACTGCGGACCCTGAGATGGAGAACAACAACAATTTACGGCCATTCACTGCTGGTAGTGGTATCCCACATGATGCATGTTAACTCTAAAGTCATCGTTCTCTGCACTGTCGCCATGCCTGACGTGAAATGCATTACAAACAAACAGCAAGTACCCGTACGGCGAGCTCACATTTCGGTGTAGGACTGCGGCTCGCATAGCTCTTTGAACTTGCGAAAAAAGTCGCAATAGCCGCCTTTCATAACATAGAGTTCCAGTGGCCTCGAACACCCATAGCGAGCCAAGTGCCTACCCACATTGACGGCGAACATCTTCGAGAGCTTCTGATGTCATCACGTGAATCCTTTAGCATTAAAACATAACGGAACGAGAGGGT